CTCGAGCTGAACTTGAATAGTTTGTCTCGATTAACACCCTACATGAAGATAGATTGATGCCATACAGACATTTCTATTTAGTGAATTCGATAGTATAAGTTCGAAGTTAGAATAGTTTACTATAGATCACAAGGATTTTGTTCATCATCAAAGAAAGACAAATAACACAATGAGTCATAAGATCACTAGAATGAGAGACATGATTTGTAGCATGCCTATTCTTCAACTAACGACTTGGAGAGGGCTAAGAGAAATGGAGATGTTAAGACACATCTCAATGAAACGTTGGACATTAGGAGAGTAGATGTGCGTGCTGATTTCCGCACAATAGATGAAACGTGAACAGATCTCTTCCGTGGTGAACCCAAGTTTGTCATGGTGGTGGATCCGACAACAAGGAATGAGTTGAAAAGACCAAAGAGGACCTAAGGAGTGATGATGAATTGTTTCAGGGGGCGTCTAGCTAGCTCCGGTGGGTCGTGAGATGCTCCTGGCAAACAAAAAAAACCAGTTAGAAAGACGTCGGAATATTTTTCGGCGTATTCCCTCTGACGGTCAAGTCAGTTCTTTGAGAGAGGGGAAGAAAAAAATATTGTATCGCTTTTGAGATATGATTTTTGTGTACCTTTGTAATGTATTTTTGAGGACTATTTATACCTTCAAACGCTCATCATTACTACTAGTCTAGGCAATAGGTAACCTTCAGAGATAGAGCAGTGTGCCTCCTATTTTGCATGAGGAATATCCCAGTATTGATTGTTCGGGCTCTCAAGCAGTTAATGTTCTTTCTTCGATATGAAAACTTTAAACGCAAGGGCCTAGGGCATTTAATACCCCATATCCTCGGCTTCTCAAGCCACTGTAGATGTCACATTATTTGGGGGATTCATTAAATGCTTGTCTGGAATAGCTGCATATCAGCAGGGGTAGTTTTATCTTTTTACCCTTCATCCTATATTTTATGCCACGCGTCTGATTCTCTTTGGTTGAGTGTTTAGTTTATTTTGTTATTCTGACTCCTTTGTACAGAGTGCCATCATAGTTCCTAATCTAGCTTAGGTTGTTCAGTTGTCAGTCACTAGTCTTCCCAGAAGCCGAAGACCTATGGAGAGATCGGAGTGTGAGTACCCTCGGGATCGAGGACATTTGGCTTGTCCCCGGAGTGGGAATACCTCGGAGCCGAAGGAACACGCCTCGAAGCCAAGGATCATATCAGTCAGAGCAAGGGGTCTTTGGAGCTGAGGACACGTGGCCTCGATAGAGACAAGAAAAATCCCTCGGCGCCGAAAACACGTGTCGTTGATCTAACACCCTTCTAAATGTGTCTCATCAAACTAAGATCTTGAGCTTCATTGCTTATAGTTCTGATTCCTAAATGGTGGCAAATTATGTTTTTTGATTGTTATGATATTTTTAGTTTGTTATTTATGTGTGATTTATTTTATTCATTGATCAAGAAAAAAAACAAAATAAATTTACCAATTATATCTCAGTTAAACAAAAAAAAAATGACTAAAGATAGCAAAAATGTCAAGTATCGATTTTGATACTATATTTTTTATTTTTTTAATCAATAAAAATAATGTATTTTTATTATTTTATATTTATAATTACAAATTATTCAATTCTAATTTGAGATTGATGAAGGTTAAAAAAAATAATAATAATCCAACAACTTTGTTATAATGGGCGGAGGGAAAGAAGCACACGACATGATTGAACTAGACTTGCATGGATTTGTGGTGGGTTAGCCTGGTGTTCAAAACAATATATTTAGTTTACACAAAGTACAACAATCTAAATCATTTAAATTCAACTGTTTATATTATAACTTAAACTTTAACGTTTTAATTATAGTAATTCAATTTATTTATATTTAATCTTTTAATTACGAAAAAAATAAAATCATTTGCACCAGGACACCAAGTGATATAAAATAGAGAAAGAAATTTAATGGATAATGATAATTTTATAACTTAAAAGTGTTGAAGATATCACTTTTACCCCTAGAATTTTAGTTTGACCACGTTATTTCTCTAATTTCCAAAAATTTGTCATACTATGCAACATTCTTTAGATTTGGGTATTTAATCTCTCTTGATTAGAAATGATATAGAATTTTTTATAACCGACAAGTTAAGAAGTAGATTGATTCATTAATCTTGTTTAGTTAGAATCCCTTTTCGACTTTGGACCACTAATCCCGCTATTATTAATGAGCAATAATGGACAAATGGGTCACAGAGATAGGAGGCATAATCCACATAAATATTTCATATGATCGTTCATTTCAGACATATTTCAACACTAATCTCATCATCATGATTAATGATATCCTAATTATTATTAAAGATAATTCTAATCTAACTAAATATTTTTATTTTCTTAAAGACAATAATCCTAATTACAGTTTTCGCTTTTCGTCTCTCTCTCTCTCTCTCCCTCCCTGTTCTCTCTTATTCTCCTCTCACCAAACAGCAGAGAATGCCTCTCTGACTTTGCACCAATCGACAAACGCCCCATTGATTCGACACGCTGTTGGTCTCTCAAGATCTTACCTAAAATCAACCCAATCGAAGAAGACTCAAAAGTAATTTCATTACCACCTGTTCTACCACCGGGGAGGAAAGTACAACCCAAGAGACCCCCATTCGAATTGAGGATGAATTTTGCTTCCTTACCCATCTCCCCCCCCCCCCCCCCCCCTCTCTCTCTATCTCTCTCTCTCAACTTGTTGTTTCAGGGTACCCAGCATTTCCAACTGTGATGGATATCAATCAAATTCGTGAAATTTTGCCCCTCCGGTTTGTCAATTAGCTTCAGTATTTTCTCTCTCTTCATCTTTCTTTTTTGGTAAATTGATGTTTGTTTTTATAGCTTTGATGATTTGATTTCGATCTATGGTTTTGTAGCTTCCTATTTCTGTTATTGATTATTTGATTGAGACGTTAAGTATACTCCAGCCGTTTCAGCCGTCGCCATTGAGAATGTGACCATATATGACAACTTCTTTCATGGGCATTTTCCAATTATGTCTGGTGTTCTTATGGTTGAGGTATGTTGTTTAATGATTCTTTGCTGGGTGTGAATTGAATCATTTATTTTTAAGCTATGTCATTCTTTGAACTGTCTTATTCTGATTTTGGGTTGATGTTTGTTAGGATTAAAGATGTCAATTTGTCGTCGTATTTTTATACAATAAATCTTCTCAGATTGGAATTTCTTCAATCCATGCATGATCCATTTGGAGGCGTGTATACTTAGATTCGTGTCTGTACATGTNCCAGGACACCAAGTGATATAAAATAGAGAAAGAAATTTAATGGATAATGATAATTTTATAACTTAAAAGTGTTGAAGATATCACTTTTACCCCTAGAATTTTAGTTTGACCACGTTATTTCTCTAATTTCCAAAAATTTGTCATACTATGCAACATTCTTTAGATTTGGGTATTTAATCTCTCTTGATTAGAAATGATATAGAATTTTTTATAACCGACAAGTTAAGAAGTAGATTGATTGGATTGATTCATTAATCTTGTTTAGTTAGAATCCCTTTTCGACTTTGGACCACTAATCCCGCTATTATTAATGAACAATAATGGACAAATGGGTCACAGAGATAGGAGGCATAATCCACATAAATATTTCATATGACCATCATATGATCGTTCATTTCAGAAATATTTCAACACTAATCTCATCATGATTAATGATATCCTAATTATTATTAAAGATAATTCTAATCTAACTAAATATTTTTATTTTCTTAAAGACAATCTTAAAATTAATGGTGGTAGCTAGATAGGACAGAGCAAAGAAACATAGGTTAATTAGGGACAAAATTGTTATTGTCATGTGAGTTATTATCACCATGAATGTAAACGAATGCTTAATATAAAGTGCACAATGGAACAAAATTGTCATATGAATCGTGTAGTGTGCCTTGCATGGGTAGCCCATTGGTATGGGGCTAGCTTAGAGAGAATGGTAAGCTCAAATGATTTTGATTCAACTTTTACCAACTACTCCCGAGTTTAATTGATATATGTGATTAGCGAATATGTATTAAGATTTTATTCTATTTGAGTAAGTTCGTTCAATATTGTTCTATCGTAAATGTAACCGTAATATTATACTATCTAGAGAAAAAAAAAAACCCTTAAAAGAGTGTAATGTGGACAAACACATGACTTGAGGGGACCAAGTGTTCGCTCTTTGAGGTGCAAAGTGTCGTTAGCCAAACCCTATAAATAGCGGATCAGCCGCCTTTCTTTAACTGCCCTGACACCAACGTTGGTGCTCTCCGACTCTCCGCCGCTTCACTTCAAACCCGCAAGCCCAGAACCGGTTACCCACTTCACTATCTCTCAACAGTTTTCGCTTTTCGTCTCTCTCTCTCTCTCTCCCTCCCTGTTCTCTCTTATTCTCCTCTCACCAAACAGCAGAGAATGCCTCTCTGACTTTGCACCAATCGACAAACGCCCCATTGATTCGACACGCTGTTGGTCTCTCAAGATCTTACCTAAAATCAACCCAATCGAAGAAGACTCAAAAGTAATTTCATTACCACCTGTTCTACCACCGGGGAGGAAAGTACAACCCAAGAGACCCCCATTCGAATTGAGGATGAATTTTGCTTCCTTACCCATCTCCCCCCCCCCCCCCCCCCCTCTCTCTCTATCTCTCTCTCTCAACTTGTTGTTTCAGGGTACCCAGCATTTCCAACTGTGATGGATATCAATCAAATTCGTGAAATTTTGCCCCTCCGGTTTGTCAATTAGCTTCAGTATTTTCTCTCTCTTCATCTTTCTTTTTTGGTAAATTGATGTTTGTTTTTATAGCTTTGATGATTTGATTTCGATCTATGGTTTTGTAGCTTCCTATTTCTGTTATTGATTATTTGATTGAGACGTTAAGTATACTCCAGCCGTTTCAGCCGTCGCCATTGAGAATGTGACCATATATGACAACTTCTTTCATGGGCATTTTCCAATTATGTCTGGTGTTCTTATGGTTGAGGTATGTTGTTTAATGATTCTTTGCTGGGTGTGAATTGAATCATTTATTTTTAAGCTATGTCATTCTTTGAACTTTCTTATTCTGACTTTGGGTTGATGTTTGTTAGGATTAAAGATGTCAATTTGTCGTCGTATTTTTATACAATAAATCTTCTCAGATCGGAATTTCTTCAATCCATGCATGATCCATTTGGAGGCGTGTATACTTAGATTCGTGTCTGTACATGCCGTGTTTAGCTGGTTCTTGTCAACCCATTTATTGCCAGGGTCTGGAGAGTACACTCGCTTACCACCCAGTTCCGATAATCCCAAACCCACTAATCTTGTGTTGATTTTGTATTGATTTTGCGGGTTGTGCCTAGAATTGCCAACCCTAGTAATGATGAGTCTCACTTTTATGTTGCAATTGGCTGTTGGGTTGCTTGTAACTTTTTGTGAATATTGCAATGGTGTGTAATTGTTTGATTGTGTACCATCTTGAGTATCAAGTTCTTTGATCATAGTTTGTGTCAATCACCATCTAAGAAACCTGTGGAAAGAAATATATGCTAGTCAATTAGTATCGGCAAATACACGTTGACAAGGCAACTGGATTGTTAATTTCTCGTATCTCATTCAGTAAGGTGATTTATTATGACCGAAAATTGTCCAAAATATGCATTAGATGAAACATCATAGCCTTTTTTATCACACTGTTTGTACTTCAAAATTCATGCTGGTTTAACTCCTAATTAGAGAAACTGACCTATTGTGCAATGGAATAAGTACTGTGCATCTATTGCTAGCCTGAGGTAAAGGAAAAAGAGAAACAAAAAAAAAAAAAAGTACCATGTGTCTAATTTTTGAGACTTGATCAATTGGCTGGAGACAATTAACAACCTTGAGATTATTGTAATTATCAAATTTTTAGTGTCATCACTGAGATATTTATGATCATAAATGTTATATGCCTTAGAGTGCAACTCGTGAAAATGCATGGTAGTGGTTTGTTTTCCTCTNCCCCCCCCCCTCTCTCTCTATCTCTCTCTCTCAACTTGTTGTTTCAGGGTACCCAGCATTTCCAACTGTGATGGATATCAATCAAATTCGTGAAATTTTGCCCCTCCGGTTTGTCAATTAGCTTCAGTATTTTCTCTCTCTTCATCTTTCTTTTTTGGTAAATTGATGTTTGTTTTTATAGCTTTGATGATTTGATTTCGATCTATGGTTTTGTAGCTTCCTATTTCTGTTATTGATTATTTGATTGAGACGTTAAGTATACTCCAGCCGTTTCAGCCGTCGCCATTGAGAATGTGACCATATATGACAACTTCTTTCATGGGCATTTTCCAATTATGTCTGGTGTTCTTATGGTTGAGGTATGTTGTTTAATGATTCTTTGCTGGGTGTGAATTGAATCATTTATTTTTAAGCTATGTCATTCTTTGAACTTTCTTATTCTGACTTTGGGTTGATGTTTGTTAGGATTAAAGATGTCAATTTGTCGTCGTATTTTTATACAATAAATCTTCTCAGATCGGAATTTCTTCAATCCATGCATGATCCATTTGGAGGCGTGTATACTTAGATTCGTGTCTGTACATGCCGTGTTTAGCTGGTTCTTGTCAACCCATTTATTGCCAGGGTCTGGAGAGTACACTCGCTTACCACCCAGTTCCGATAATCCCAAACCCACTAATCTTGTGTTGATTTTGTATTGATTTTACGGGTTGTGCCTAGAATTGCCAACCCTAGTAATGATGAGTCTCACTTTTATGTTGCAATTGGCTGTTGGGTTGCTTGTAACTTTTTGTGAATATTGCAATGGTGTGTAATTGTTTGATTGTGTACCATCTTGAGTATCAAGTTCTTTGATCATAGTTTGTGTCAATCACCATCTAAGAAACCTGTGGAAAGAAATATATGCTAGTCAATTAGTATCGGCAAATACACGTTGACAAGGCAACTGGATTGTTAATTTCTCGTATCTCATTCAGTAAGGTGATTTATTATGACCGAAAATTGTCCAAAATATGCATTAGATGAAACATCATAGCCTTTTTTATCACACTGTTTGTACTTCAAAATTCATGCTGGTTTAACTCCTAATTAGAGAAACTGACCTATTGTGCAATGGAATAAGTACTGTGCATCTATTGCTAGCCTGAGGTAAAGGAAAAAGAGAAACAAAAAAAAAAAAAAGTACCATGTGTCTAATTTTTGAGACTTGATCAATTGGCTGGAGACAATTAACAACCTTGAGATTATTGTAATTATCAAATTTTTAGTGTCATCACTGAGATATTTATGATCATAAATGTTATATGCCTTAGAGTGCAACTCGTGAAAATGCATGGTAGTGGTTTGTTTTCCTCTAGGTGCATCCGCTTATGGATATCTCTCTCTGCCGTCAAAGCATCCATCAATTTGCTTATTTGTGCATAATTTCTAGTCTATATATCCCCTAGGCATCACACTTCTATTTAACATATATTATACCCGGTAAAATGGTGGCAAATTATGCTTTACATTTGCTATATATCCCTTCACAATTAATAGGATTTATTGTTGAATTAGCTGCATTTAACTTTTGGTGCCTTATCATATGCATTAAGAAAAAGAAAGAAGATGATTTACAGAAGTTATATCTGCCCAAGTTTATCATTTCAATTTTCAAAACGTGTTTTATACAATCACCTCTCAATAAAATCATTGAAGACTTCCTGTACAAATACTTTCCCTTGTGACCTGAACTATTAAGTACAGTAAATTTGTCGACAGAAATTTATGAAAACATGTAAAACGAACCAAACAATTTTTATCCAAGCAAGAGGGGAGAATTTTTTGTCTAATTCCAAATAGCTCCATTTTTATGGTGTTATCTAGTGTGCTATGTTTCACCGGCAATTTAGCCATAGCTTTCTCAAACATATCCAAGTTTCCAACATGTCCAGCTGAGATTCGTCTGACGAGAATGTGACTTTAGATGATCAATTTGCAGCCTTGTTATTTAGTATTTGTTTTTTGAACTTTACTTTCTTGTAAGCACAGACCTTCATGTATTAGAATATTCCCTTGCATGGTAATCAAATGCATGACCGTTCCTTGGTTTATTCAAAAAAAAAAAAAAGCAACCAACACCCCTTTTCTTAATTTTTCGGTTATATTTTTGTATTATGTTGATTGTGCATATGCAAGTTTCCTAGAGATGGTAGAACATTATGACCACTTATTTACTCTGCTTTGGGTGAATCATTAGCTGAAAATGAGTTCCTATTCTAATTATAGAGAAATAGGTTTTGATATGGCATTGTAGCTTTATCTCCTTCCTTTCCTTGACGCTCACGGATCTTGATCTTTGAAGCTTGATGGCCATAGAATTAAGTTGAGATTACATAAGACTTAACAAAATTAGCCAATTACAAACATGATCACTAAGATATCCATTCTATCCTCTATATCACTTTAATATCTCTTTTTCGGAAATTTTTCCAGTTTGTGGTTTGTCGGGGTTTTGGAGAGGGGTTAGGGGCTCAGTTATCTACATTATCTTAACTCATGAAAATATCTGCTTCCATTTGTATACGACGGCAGTGCCTCTATTGCGACAAGATATGATGAATGTGCATGGTTTTTGGTTCCCGGCAATGGCTGAAGTTGGTGGATTGGTTATTTTGCAACCAGAAGTTGGAGGATCTTGTGACAATCCGGAAACCATGGGTTGCAGGAGACACCGTAGTGATGAGAATGACCATTATCAAGCTGCTGAAACGGTTTGCTTTTGCAAAGATGGAAGGAAAAGCATATGTTGGAGGTGGAGTGGCATGCGAGGGTGAGTTTTTGATGTCTTTGGGTAGTGAATGATGCTGCAACCGATGTGGTTGCAGTTTTGCAGTACCTGTTGATTTTACCTTTCCATCCCTACAAATCCTTCTTTGTCAATTTAATTTATATCCTGATAAAAAAAAAAATTTAATTTATGTGGAGTTTATATGTTGGATGAGGCTATGCTACCACGGTACATTAATCTCTGATTGATTAATTTTCAGCCATTGAACATGAAACTAATAAAGTTAATAATAGAAATTTACCAGTATCCTATTCTCACCGGTTGAAAAAAGGAGATTAGATACCTAAAAGTAACATTTTGGTGGTATAGTTAGACCATGCATAAATCAAATGTTGCTTGGTTTCTTTTGTTTATGTTGATAGTGTTCATGTTCTGCATTTCCAATGAAAGTAGTAGTTGTGTTTGATGAACCACCATGTGTTTAGGATGGGTTTGAAAGAGTGACACTTTTTTTTTCTTTCTGTGTCTTGAAGTTCTCTATCCCCAATTATTTTATATTTGACTTGAAATTAGATACTCGTCTTCAAAATGCACTGGTGCTCCTCACACTTTGATAGGTGACCTAGAATATCTGAGTATTCTGTGTGAATTAGTGACCTAATATCGATTCTTATGTTTAGAAGTGTTTTAAGATATTTCCGCCATTGCTTCAAAATGTTTCTGAATCAAAACTGCAAGTATTCTACCTCATTTTTGAGACATCTCCGAAATATTTTCCATTGCATGCTTACCAAAAGTCCGAAAGTACACAGAAACGCAAAAATTTAATCCTAGAATTAGACTCTCTGCACACATTTTTCCCCCATGTACAAAACCAGGATTCTTTGTCTTGAAGAACCACATTTTCTGATTATCTTCTGTTCCCTGATTATATTCCTACTGACTCTTCACTATTGGGAAACAATGAAGATAACAGAGTGGACACAATTAGATAGTGCATTACATTATCTTACATAGAGATTCAACTAGAATGTATTTGAACTTTTCACAGGGGAACTGAAATCATGAAGGGTTAATAATTTATCCCAGTGGGCTTTCTCTCTCTAACTGCTTTTTACATAGATGTAAATTTATCCCCCTTACAAACCAAGAGCTCCAAGGGGTGTTTTCCCTTGCCCTGCCTCAAAGTAGAAAATTAGCATTGCCACCATCGCAATCCTTGCATGCTTGATCTCTGCCAGCTTCAGTCTTTCGAGCTTCTCGGTGTCGGGGATGTAGACACCATTCTTGATTGTTCCAGCAAGGCCCAGTGGGTCGAAGAATTTGCCGCCTGGATAGCCTTGTTCACCGGTGGCGTTGGCGAAGTTTTCGGCCGTTCTTGACCATGGAGTGGCCCATTCCACAGACTGTGATTCAGGGTTGAAGAAATCTACCCATCTTTTGCTCTCAACCCATCCCATGAGGAGAAGTTGGGTGCCAAGGAGAGTGCCAAAGGAGAAGGGTGCAAGGGCACCGGGGTCAGCTCCAGCTTCGAACCATGGGATACCACTCCAGGCCTGACCCACGAAGATGCCGACAACCGCCACCATTGCCCACCGGCCGTGGATGAGCTCAGCCTCTCTGTACCACTTCAGGAATGCTGGGTCCTTGCCTAGGCCTAATGGATCAAAACCATAGTCACCAGGGAGGCTGTAATTCATCAAATCAAAAAAGGGCAATTTGGTTAGCCATGAATGAGAGACAGAGAGAGGGAACTATAGGTGAATCCGACACATAATCGACCTAGAATTAAGAGAGAGAGAGACTTACGACCCATCGAGCCACTCGGGGTCAACCAAGTTGCCACCACCTCTAACACCAGGAAGCCAAGACTTCTTAGGTGCAGCAGCAACCACAATGAACCTCTTGGGAGAAGCCACAGCACCACCAACTCTAGCTGCAATGGGAGCAGACAATAGGGTCTGGCTCTTCTTTCCACCAGTCAAGAAGGGTGAGCCCAACCCATTTAGCACTGCAGTAGACGTAGCAGCCATCTCTCTCTCTCTCTCTCTCTCACACACACACACACAGAGTTGTTGGTGGCTATGTAGGAACTTGGAGGTGGGGAGTGATCAAAAGTAGAGATTTCAGTTGAGCCAGCTAGGACAGTGAGGATCTCTCTTGGATAGATTTCTGACCAATGAGATCATCAACTCCATTCCCATTTTGCATTTTCTTGTCCATCCACCTGGACCATGTCTTCACCAATACTTTTGCTCTCTTGATTGCAAATCCTCAACATAACTCCAAGATATATCTGTATAAGTCACAGTGAGGATGTTAAGATCTGGTTGACATGCCCAAATTTTGTTCACAAATTTTTTTTGTTACTAAAGGGGATTTTCTTCCACATCATGTTGTATCGAAAATTATGATTCGATCAGATCAAAATATATCTCTAGGAGCATTTCTAACATTTATTCTTTTTTAAACTCAAATTTAAATTTGAGTAAAAAAAAGTTTTAAAAATCTTCTCCAATACTAAATCAAGAGAGACTCAAACTTTTACTCAAATCGTCAATCGTTAGATTTCATTATCTTTTAGTTAAATTTTATCTTCCATTAAATTTTAGTTTATTTGAGTTTCTTGTTTTGTATTGAATGAAGTTTTTTATTTAAATATTGACTTAAATTTGAATAAAAATTTGAATCAATGCTCTAATAGGTAGAGAGGTAGACTAGCAACTCAATTGGGTCAAAAAAAGGATCAATCTAAAACCCTGAGATCGATCTTATCGAACAAGAATGGGCACGTGCTCGAAGGAAGGAGCTCCACATTTCGGATTAGGCCTAGCTCGCCAGTTTGCCAACCCGTCTATCCTCCGGCTCGGGCTCCGGCTCGGCAGATCCAGTTCCAGCCCCACAACGACTTCGACTAGCAATTTGGGGATGACTAATTTTCATCCTTTTCGATTTTCCCATGTTTTATTCTCATTTTTGTGTGTTTTGGTTTTCTAAAAATGGGCTATTCTTTGGACTCTGGACTTTGTATAATGTCTTTGTTTTTAATAGGTGAAACTTGGAAATTGAGGCTAATTTCTGAAAGAAGCTTGCAACTATTACTATTATTTTAGGGTTAATTGTATTAGGAGTCTCTAAAATATAAAATTTGTCTTATTTTGATATGTAATCTTTAAATTATATTATTTTAGTTATTAAAATATTGAATATGTTTCTATATGCTCCTTCAAAGAAACAACATTCAAATTACTAATAATTTTTTATTATAAACTTGTCACGTAATACTAAAATATGGACAAAAAAATTTGGATAACTCTTAATCAAATTTTTACCTAAATTTTAGTCAAATAACTACCAAAATTACACAATTTTGATCACGAACTATCTAAATTTTTGTCAAGAGCTAGTCATATTACATATTTTTGGTCATGAGTTATCCAAAATTTGGTTAAGAGCTACCCAAATAATTTTTTTGCCTATATTTATGTATCATTTGATATGTTTATGATAAAAAATTGTCAACAATTTAAATGTTATTTGTTTGAAGAACCACATAGAAACATATTCAGTACTTTAGGAACCAAAATTATACAAATCTAATATTTTAGAGACCTCCAGTGCAATTAACCAATTATTTTTATACATTTTCTTACAAGTTGAACATTTGAATTAGGGTAAATTGTATTTTATATCCTGAAAGATTTTAAATTTTTTATTTTATACTCTTAAAGGTTAAATTTTTCACATTGCACCCTCAATTTATTAAAAGTGTTATAATGCGACCCTTTGTTAGCTTTCTATTAGTTTTTTCATCAATATTAATGAATTGACTTTTGACAAAAAAAAAATAACTGAAGCTAACAGAATGACCACATTGAAACAATTTTGATACATTGAAAGTACAATATGAAAATTTTAATATTTGAAGGTACAAAGTTAAAAACTTAATATCTTTCAAGGCGCAAAGTGCAAAAAACTCTTTGAATTAATTGTCTATTTTTATTTCTTATGTAATAAGTTCAAAAGATAATAAAAGTCTGTAGTGGAATAACTTAGGATATATACAGAAAGACACTGATTATTAGTATTTTATTTGAATTATGTTGACTTCATTTGGCTCTACAATCCCAAATTCGTCCTAATTTTGTTTATTTTTTTTTCATGTAGATTATTCCAATGAAATAAAAGCCAAGAGACAAAACGTTAATCAAAGGCAGTGATGGCAAAGGCTAATGATATCAATCATACTGCTATGTGTTATTTAGGGACTTGACTATGGTACCATCAAAAAAAAAAAAAATTTGGTACCATACATCCAGAATTTACTACTTCAAATTATGTTTTTATAATTTTTTATTTTTCATTTTACAACAAAAAAATTTATCACTTTTGTGATTGATTTTACCACTTTTTGTATGTATTTTTATAACTATTGTGGGTGTGGTAACCTTTTTTACCATTTTTCTTTTGTAAAAAAAAATTATCACTTTTATAGATGATTGATTACATTTATAGGTGTTTTTACCACCGTTGTAATAAGTATTTTTATCATTTTTTTGGGTACCACAAAAATGATAAAAATACTTACAAATATAATAAAAATAACCACAAATGTGATAAATAGAGGTATAATACTAATTTTTTTTTAGTACTATAGTCAACTCCGTTATTTAATCGTCACTCTTGCCTCTGATAATTCTATAAGTATTGGAGGACTATAATTTTTGAAAACCTAAACAGTCATTCATTGTTGAGAAGTGTCATAAGAACTTAGTTTTTTTAGTCACATAGTGCTTTGGAGCTCGGTTCAATCACTAGTATATTTATATATATGGATATTAGCAAGCTTCCATTATAGCAGGTTTATATCATATCAAACATCTCCCTCATCTACGTGGGTTAATACTTTACAGACTTGGATTCTTAGTCTTATAAGGCTGAATTTCTTTTAAGTTTTTGCAGGAGTGCATGTAACGTTTATCATAGATGCTAAGTACAAAAATTAATTGGGCTGCTTTAAAATTATATGTAATATTGAATTAAGAGATTAAAATAGATGATATGCCATAGTCTTATTTTGAAATTGAGAGATTTTAGGTGACACCCTATAATTTTTGCATTGAGTGGGCTTGATTGGCAATTTAGGTGGTGAGTGCACGTGTGCAATATATGTTTTATTAGCGGTGTCGATCGTGTCATATTGTGTTATTTTAGCGTCGTGTCGTATCATTTTTGGTATGCCTTGTGTTTGTGTCTATAAAAAATTATTTAATTATCTAACAATTTATATAATATTATTTATTAAATTTATAAAATAACTATTTTCTGTCTACAATACTTATTTTTTGTCTATTGTATCTGTTAATCATAAATATGTGACTTTAATTTGACTTATTTATTTGCGTATTAATTAATAAAGTCATTTTTAAATTTTGTGTCTAGTCAAATCTAGTTATGAGTTAATGGTTAAAATTAACAACCCTATCATTTATATAATGGGAACATGTTGCAGCTTGTGTCCCATTAAGGCTTCGACTACATGATTGAATACAATAAGTATTCTTAGGCATTGAAACCCTAGAGAGAGAGAGTCGTATGACATATGGTTTCGAGCAAGATTGTGAGGAACCTTTTGAGTGTAAATAAAGATCAAAGAAATAGGATCAAAATCCGTTTGACCAGTTGATCGGAATCCGACCATCAGTTGGTAATCCAAGTTTGTTTTTTAGAAGATCCGAGAGGTTAGATTTGTTGATGATGTTTGAAGCTTCGTATTGTCCATTCGTATCTCTCTTCGTAAAGGGTCTTTTTATTATTATCTTCATTATATTCTGACCTATTGTGTAACTTTTGATTTTTTATGATCATTTGAACTTTCATTTGTTGTTGCTTCATAGTTGTTGTCCGCGTAAAATTTTGTTGGTGGAATGCTCGAGACCTATGAACATATGCATTTGATTTACCCGATGACGTAGAAATGATTTTGAGATGTAATTGTAATGACGTGTGTTAGAGTGATTTGAAAGATTGAACGTCGGGTTTTGTATAATTTTATTGATTCTATGGTTAATTCTGGGATTAACATTTCGTCCCGTGGTTTCATATATTACATTCAATTGACTTTAGGATAACAATCAGTAGAGAATTGGATTGGTTGAAGAATTAGAGAATCTCAATTATACATAAAGTTTGTGGATATTTAGTGCTGTGTATTTGTTTAAATTGATAGAATTTTAGTTCGCGCAACAGATCCGAGAGGATGGGATTAGGAGAGTGACAGTTTGTTTATGGTAGATACATTGTNTATAACTATTGTGGGTGTGGTAACCTTTTTTACCATTTTTCTTTTGTAAAAAAAAAATTATCACTTTTGTAGATGATTTATTACATTTATAGGTGTTTTTACCACCGTTGTAATAAGTATTTTTATCATTTTTTTGGGTACCACAAAAATGATAAAGATACTTACAAATATAATAAAAATAACCACAAATGTGATAAATAGAGGTATAATACTAATTTTTTTTTTAGTACTATAGTCAACTCCGTTATTTAATCGTCACTCTTACCTCTGATAATTCTATAAGTATTGGAGGACTATAATTTTTGAAAACCTAAACAGTCATTCATTGTTGAGAAGTGTCATAAGAAANGATAATTCTATAAGTATTGGAGGACTATAATTTTTGAAAACCTAAACAGTCATTCATTGTTGAGAAGTGTCATAAGAAATTAGTTTTTTTAGTCACATAGTGCTTTGGAGCTCGGTTCAATCACTAGTATATTTATATATATGGATATTAGCAAGCTTCCATTATAGCAGGTTTATATCATATCAAACATCTCCCTCATCTACGTGGGTTAATACTTTACAGACTTGGATTCTTAGTCTTATAAGGCTGAATTTCTTTTAAGTTTTTGCAGGAGTGCATGTACGGTTTATCATAGATGCTAAGTACAAAAATTAATTGGGCTGCTTTAAAATTATATGTAATATTGAATTAAGAGATTAATCTAGATGATATGCCATAATCTTATATTGAAATTGAGAGATTTTAGGTGACACCCTATAATTTTTGCATTGAGTGGGCTTGATCGGCAATTTAGGTGGTGAGTGCACGCGTGCAATATATGTTTTATTAGCAGTGTCGATCGTGTCATGTTGTGTTATTTTAGCATCGTGTCGTATCATTTTCGGTATGCCTGGTGTTTGTGTCTATAAAAAATTATTTAATTATCTAACAATTTATATAATATTATTTATTAAATTTATAAAATAACTATTTTCTGTCTACAATACTTATTTTTTGTCTATTGTATCTGTTAATCATAAATATGTGACTTTAATTTGACTTATTTATTTGCGTATTAATTAATAAAGTCATTTTTAAATTTTGTGTCTAGTCAAATCTAGTTATGAGTTAATGGTTAAAATTAACAACCCTATCATTTATATAATGGGAACATGTTGCAGCTTGTGTCCCATTAAGGCTTCGACTACATGATTGAATACAATAAGTATTCTTAGGCATTGAAACCCTAGAGAGAGAGAGTCGTATGACATATGGTTTCGAGCAAGATTGTGAGGAACCTTTTGAGTGTAAATAAAGATCAAAGAAATAGGATCAAAATCCGTTTGACCAGTTGATCGGAATCCGACCATCAGTTGGTAATCCAAGTTTGTTTTTTAGAAGATCCGAGAGGTTAGATTTGTTGATGATGTTTGAAGCTTCGTATTGTCGGCTTTGATATCGAGTTAATGTAAGTGGTTTATCTGAAAATATATCTTCATTCGTATATCTCTTCGTAAAGAGTCTTTTTATTATTATCTTCATTATATTCTGACCTATTGTGTAACTTTTGATTTTTTATGATCATTTGAACTTTCATTTGTTGTTGCTTCATAGTTGTTGTCCGCGTAAAATTTTGTTGGTGGAATGCTCGAGACCTATGAACATATGCATTTGATTTACCCGATGACGTAGAAATGATTTTGAGATGTAATTGTAATGACGTGTGTTAGAGTGATTTGAAAGATTGAACGTCGGCTTTTGTATGATTTTATTGATTCTATGGTTAATTCTGGGATTAACATTTCATCCCGTGGTTTCGTATATTACATTCAATTGACTTTAGGATAACAATCAGTAGAGAATTGGATTGGTTGAAGAATTAGAGAATTTAGTGCTGTGTATTTGTTTAAATTGATAGAATTTTAGTTCGCGCAACCGATCCGAGAGGATGGGATTAGGAGAGTGACAGTTTGTTTATGGTAGATACATTGTGNGGTTTTGAGGAAGACAATTTATTCAGAGGTACATTTTAAATTGTAGGAGGTGCATTGTTTTCAACTATAGGGTTTCATCCATGCTTCTCTACCGACATCCGAATTAGGATCAAACCAAGTTTCCAAGAATTTTTGTTTGTTTCAACAACCTTATCTATTTTCCTACTATATATAACTACAAATATTCAGTAATTTGATCCATTCATATTCATTGTACGGGGTACCACTAATAGGTTATTGATGGAGTAGAAAGATTTTGAATTCAGTGCATTAAATCATGAAGGGCTTTAGGGTCACTTGACTGCAATACATTGATGTAATTATTTTAATGAGTTCATGATAGTTAGATCCTTCTAAAATGCCCCCAAAACTACCATTGAGAACATAAATCTATGGGAGATGGAAGACTTATAGGGGTCACTTGCACGTGACCTTCTTCATGTACACACAGGTGACATTAGTATATTATCCCCACCACCCACGCCAGGCCCTACAGTGGGGCTTGATTTAAGCTCTTGGAAGATCATAGTTTAATGGCTCAGGCCAGGCGACAAACAGGACACTTTGTGAATATTTAATGCCTCAGGCAGGCAAAAGACCTGAGTGGCATGAAACACCCCCATCAAATATTAATTACTTTTGGGTAGATACAAAAAGGAAGCATAATGTAAGTGAATCATCAGATAGGAAAATTGCAATGTCAGCTACCATAAAGANCTCTCTTCCACTGTGGTATATGGTTTGTGTTCTCTTCCATGAGGGTTTTTCTCACAAACAGATGATTGAAGTTATTTGATAAGATTTGGATTGTTGTTTTCGTCATGAAAACGGTGAAATTCTTCCTATGTTTTTATTTTGAATTTTACTTTTTTTGATGGTCTCTTTCATTTGATTATAGTTGGTATTTTGAGTATTTGAAATAAATGAGCATCTTCTTTCCATTTTAACATACATAATGTGAAAGTATAATAAAGGTGTGCATCGAATTGTAGATTTGCAGAGTTTTTTGGTCTGTTTATGGGTGTATTAGTGTATTATCACAAAGCGAAAAACATGGTCACTAGGACGAGCCGTAAACCTATACATCCTGTATTTGAATTTTTGTAATTCTTTGAAGTCAGGCCATGAGAAATTCATTTTTCATGAATACCCTATAAATATGTGTTTGTTTAAAGAGATGAACAATTCATTTTCAAAAATTAGACTAGAGAAATAAAATATTTAGTTTTTTTGTGTAGATATTGACAAACCTGGGTTTATTGTGCAAGTACAATGAGAATTTAATTGCAAAGCAATTTTTTATATTGAAAAGTTCTCCTAATTTACTCATTAATGGATATTAACCTCTCTTCACTTTGAGGAAAAAAACTTTAGTAAGTTATAGACACCACGTGATAGTATCAAGTGGTGTACACACCCAATAAGCAACTGTCACAACACCGATGGGTGAAACATACACAAGTTTTTTTCAAAAAAATAAAATTTGACAAAGTGATATATGACAAATAATAATTGAGAATGTATAATATTTTATTGGTGATGTACTCTATATGATATTGTTATATGGTGAGTTATAGCATGAAGACACACAAACACACACACATAGAGAGAGAGAGAGATGACTGTTCCTTTTTCTTTTTTTTTTTGTGTTTTGAAGAAGATAGTTTAGAGGTACATTTTAAATTGTAGAAGCTGCATTGTTTTCAACTGCAGTGTATTGTTTTCAACTACAGTGTTTTATTTTGACTATCTTCTATTTAAGCTGCAGAAATGTTTGGAATTGTGTTTTATCTCGTAGGGAATTGAATTTTGTAGGAGAATTTTTCTTGTAGCAAATCATATTTCCAATAGCAACCTAGGATTTTTCCGACGGGGGTTTCTATGTTTTTGGATTTTTTTCATCTTTTTCATAAATACTAATATACTTTGACGTCACTTTGCTTGCGAAAAGTATCGTATAATAGCTTTTTAACCCAGAGTATGAAGCACTTTCTTTTATCTTTTTCTTTTTCCGTTACCCAACCTAAAAGATGTGACAAATGCAAAATATTATCATGTTGTAAAAAGATTAAACACCATAATCATCAACTCTTCATATTCATCACATGGAATATCACTAGTAGGTTACGACCAGTGCTTTTATCAAGTAAATTATCCATTTTGTATAAATGAAGAACAGAGTTATTTATTACTCTACAGTAATTTTTAAATAAAATTATTAAAATATAACACTTTTAAACTTATTTACTAAATTATAACACTTTTTAAAAAGCGAGGTTATTAACACCACTTTTCAACAAAAACGAAGTCTAACAACTCCATTTTCAAAACACATTTTAAAACAACCTCCCCACCCCAAAACATGGAAAAAAGAAACTTTGTGTATTTGTTATAAGGCAACTGCTTGGGGACCCATTGATGCTTTTGTGCAGTACCTTGATAATTCTCATTTTATGTTTTATTATACTGTTATTTATGAAACTCAAAATATCAGCATTATAGGATTCACCAGTGATCCATGCATTCTAGCAAATTTGCCAATTTGTTCACCAAAAATATCTGGTTAATCATAAAACAGTACAAAGAAACTTCAAGGGACATAGAATGGTCTTACTCTGTTGGATTTAGACCACCTTCACTCTATACATGACAGGGAAAATAGAACATTTCCAGAAACAACATTAGTCAAAGTGCAACGGCTTGGGAAATGATCCATGTAGGAAGAGTTTTCATAAAAAAGGATACAGAACTGCCTTGAGTACATGAAACATGTATCAACACATTGGATATACATTGACCAGCCTCAATCTGAATCTGATGATGCTTGCAAACGAGGATCCAATGTTGTAACCATCTTAGACAGTGTTTCTCCAATGTCTTCCACTTCCTCCTTTCCAAATCCCCAACTTCTAACTATCTCGGTGCCAAGACCTCGTTCCATACCAAACCTCCGAAGATTTGCCAACCTCTTTTCCAAGAACAGTAAGATAGCAGTGCTAGAACGCAATCTTGCTGCCATGGGGATTGAATGGACATGGAGTGATCCCCTTGATGGGGAACCTGAAATTGGGTTACTTAACAGCTCGCCATGTTGGCCAACAAGATTCCCAAATATTGAAGGAAATGGCAAGGGTATTGGAAGAGGACAACGAGCCACTGACAGATGAGAGAACATCGGCCTTGTGAGTGCATTTTCATAAGCAGCTTGAACTCTGTCCTTTACTTCAGAAACCGACGCCTGCTGACCTCCTGTAACATAACAACAAGAAGATAAGAAACCAATAAACCAACAGCTAAATACATTGACAACTTTCAATAAGCAGCAGAATAGCTAGACAACCAACATCAGCTACACATCAAAGAGGTCAACATACATGGTTGATAAGCAGATTTCGTAGAGGCAGTCAATTCTAGGCTAGAATAGAATAGGCTTTTATCCATGGCCTAACTAATGCTTTTTTCTCTCACCCTTTCTATTTGTTTGAAAATCCCACGTGATGATATTTTTCCCTTCTTGAGCTCAGAATTACTCTCAAAATACTTGGGATTGTTAGAGGTTAACTAAATATTTCCTTCTCGAACAGAAATGGACTGCTAGCTTTTTCTAGAAGTCACTCGAGTAGGGTAGTAAACAATTCAGCAAAAGCTTACGAAAATGCCAGTGCACTTATCTAATGTGAAAATGCAACAAGACATTCATGAATATGACAAACATTGTGCACATGGAAAATTGGTAATTACTTGGGGGTTGAGGCGATGAATTAGGAACTGTTATTTAGAAGAGTATTCAACATATTTTAAGACAACAGAATGTGAAAAATAAAGTGAAATAAGTTAATTTAATGAATATAATTCATAAAATACTAAACAATACCAGAACCAATAGCTCCATGAACAGTCATGGATTCCACTGCTTGCAAGTCTCCCATGTTATCTGCGGTCTCTGGGGTCAATGTCTGCAAATTCCCCAACAAAGATTGCTCAATCTGTTCCCCTGTTTTGAAATGAACTACTTCAGAGAAAATTTAAAATAAAAAATATTGCAAATAAGTGCGAGTGAATGTAATAGTGAAATAAATATACCACTGAGGGGAGGAGCTGGCATTGCAACATCCAGAATAGCAACACTATTTTGCCTAGCTTGGCCTGCTAACATTTGAATGACCCCATATATATCCACAGCACCAGATATATAAGACGATTCTGCAGTGGGACCAAGTGGTTCCATTCGGAAAGGGAGGCTAATAGAATGCAGTGCAGATGCATAGATTGCACTGGAGTAGTAAGGCTTTTCGTCTTTTATGGGGAGAAACCTGAAAGCTTTAAGTTCACATATGCATAAGCATATCAGTCCATGTACAGCTTCTTTTTAAAATAATAAAAAGAGGCTAATATATGTTTTTGGTGTGGATTTGTGTTCTGGAGCTTCTTTTGGGAAATTTTTTTTTGGGGTGTGGGTGTGTGTGTGTGTGTGCGCGTTTTTTTTTGGATGGGGGGGGGGGGAGAGAGAATTTGATCTCAGAAAAAAGGTACATTCTCACTAAAACACAAAATGCATCTTGCTCGATTAATCAAACCTAATTTCATTTACATTTAGGAAATCCGATTTCTTAGAAACAATTCAAATTTAATCTGGTAATCAGAAAACAAGAGGTGGTCAAAAAGGATCTTTCCCACAAATTAACACTACTTACTTTTACTCAGGGAGGGTAAACCAATAGGCACGATCAATTTACACAAGGATGACAGTTTTGCAAATGAAATTGCATCATGAAGAGTCTGAGAGATTCTCTGCTTCTGGCTTGTGAGGTTAATGTAAGAGCCCGGGCTCCGCACCATATAGAGCAACATTGGAACGTTTGTGTACTCATCCACAATATTCTCCAAAAATTCCGCAGCCACACCAGAAAATCCTCCAGAGTCATCAACAATAAATTGAATCCCCTGCCAAAAATAATATCATCAGTTCACCCCCACAAGAAACAAAAAAGCAGAAATCTTGAACAATATAAGAATTTTGTACCAACTATAAATGTCAAGGAAATTCTGAAAAGACTAACCAACATGGCATAAATATAACGACCAATCAACTTGCCATAAATATAACGGTTAGTTACTCTTTATCAACCTAAAATTTTCCCTATTTTACTTTGATCCTCAATCCTTCTATTTAGGTTGCACTCCTCGTTCTTGTATTGTGCAGATTCAGTCTGACCATTAACTTCCATCAAGTGCCACCTCTGCATCATGGAAAGCACAACTCTAAATTTTAGTGTCCAAAAAATTTGATGATCATTACTGAATGGACTAGTCGACACATGTTGCAGAGTTGGAGGACTATACTGCCAAAAATGAAAGATTGAGGACCAAAGTGAGAATTGGGACAAGCATAAATGGTACAAATCTAAGTAACCTAAATATAATTTGCAATGATTACTGATTGATAATCATTTTCACAAATAAAGGAAAAAAGCATGAGTGGGAGATTAAGATTGTCCAGGAGTCCATGAGGAAACATAAGAAAGCATTTTCAATTTTATGAGATACCTGAATATGGTCACACTCTTCTATAAAAAAACGAAGCCTCTCAATTATTTCTTCTCCTTGTAAAGCCTCAGAGAAGGCATCCCTTCCAATTCCATAATTCTGGAATTCCCTAATGTCCATTCCTAGTCCAGTTAATTCAAACAAACTCTGGGGATGATAGTGGACTTTTGAAAAGTCTGTCCAATATTGAACACCGTCTTGTAGACATTCTACAATGTCCTTATCTTGAATTTCACCCTCAGAATCATTCTTCCCACCATTCACACCATTCTCCATCCCCAATCTTTTATGTTCTTCCTTGTATAAACTTTGCAAGAACAAGTTCTTCGTTCGGCGTTCAGTTGCATGAGTGGAGATGTTACCAGTCCTGCACAGAGATGTAATCAATTGATATAAATGCCAAATCAGACAAAGGAAGAGAATTAACATTACGGGATAGACAAATAAATTTCCAACCCTCAATAATTAAAACAGCAGCAGCTATAGGTTCATTCTTGACATCAAATTGTAAACTTAAACATTAAATTTGAAAAACATTGTTCAACTTAAGTAACTAGAAAAATAGTAAGGAACCCTTTTTAGTTTAAGAACCTTGAGCAAGTGAATGTTTACGATTTACTAATGCCAACTTCAAAATCTAATATCAATAGCTCCCTCTGCCCCACCTCCCTATGTGATTCAGCCAAAAAGCAATCATAATAGATAGTTGATATCAAAGTTGATGATATGTAGAAGACAACATGTTGACTGGTGACAAGGGACCAAAAATAAGTCAATATGATACTCCTTAAGACTTCACAAATCAACCTTTGTAATTTTCGGTGGATGAAAAATCATCACATCATAAGCCATGGTCACCCTTGAGGTTGTTGCCTCACTACTCTTTGGTCAACTGATAGTCTACTAATTCTTGAAAGGAAAAGTCTAACAACAGGCCATCGACAACCTGATGAAACGAAAACACTAACGTAAGCAACATGGATACTAGCATTTCGTGAAAACTTCTTTGAACAGTATTCTTAGTATTGAATCTGATTCCCGATGCTATTAGTAAAACCACGCATAACCCGTACAGCAGTGGCCTGAAGCCACAACAAAATCTTATGCTTCGACCCAAGATGCATTAGATTCTGCCTTCTGAAAATAAGCTCTACCTCAAACTGCTTCTCAATCTTTAAATTTAAAGGTACAGTTCTCAACACGTTTCCGTCAAGGCATTGTTAAAACTTAAAACAAGCATAACTAATTCACAAGGAGAGTGACACTTTTTCTAATCTATAGACTAGAAAATGATACTATTACTGAATAAGGCAACTCTATGCAGACCAATGACCAAAACAGACCCAACCTTAGCATCAGGCTGGAAAGTTTTGTCGGTTTCTACCCACTTGAAAGGACATTTGTAGGTGCTACAAACTTATATTGCCTGTACTGAAGGAAAAGTATTTGGGACATTTCGTCTCAGTTAATAGAGAATGTCATTGATTGCCTACTTACATCAACTTGGCTAAAAGAGGTAAGCACTATTATCAATTTTCTAAAAGACAAATTTTTTTCTCATCTGTCATCACAACATGATTCACACATGCATGTAAGCATCCAATAACCCACATATACACCATCTCATAGAGCTCCTGAGGCACACTTATCAAAAAGAAATTAAAAGTTACACAACTGTATCACAATAATTGCATGAAACATTGAGGTTCACAACCTCATATAATCTTTATATTGTCCACACTACATAAAACTAAAAAAAATAGAAAGACACTTATTGTAAAAGGTATTTGCCATAATAAAAACATGTCTGAACCTCCCATCATCCCCAAATCTAACGAATCAGGAAATATATGCAAACAGTTCAATGTATTGGCCTGTCCAGATCTATTTGTGAAACTTTTCATGGTAAGTCAAATATACAAAACCTTTGAACATGTCACCTACAAACCAAAATCAGTTTCAAAAACTATTGCTGTGAACCATTCGATCCTAAAGAAATGCTTATCCTTTTTTTTTATGACTATGACTTTCCCAAGGTCCGGAATTTTTTAGATAATAGAGCTGTGTATCACAAGCAACCCAATGATATAGCACCAAAATATAAAAAGATGAATCCATGTCTCACCATGTGACAACATCAGATCGTACAGTTGGGATATCATTGTACAGTGTACCACATGAACTCACGGATCCAAGAGAACCTGTGATATCAAAAACTTAATAATTAGCATTTTCAAACGAAGCCGTAATTATGACAGCCACTTTTTAGGAGACCTATTGTAGAATTGAAGGTCCTAGTAAGACACTTGAGAAGTTTTTCAATTGACAAATATTTATTGACTCATGTACTGATGCAACCTAGGAAATAATAAAATCAGAGGAATTACAAAATATAAATACCATGCTACCTACAATCGTTGCAGCAGGTCAAAGCAAAGTCATCTTGTTTGTCAAGTTACCAAAAGATCTCAACCACTCATTTTATCCCACTAAACATCAACACCTCTTGGTTCTCCACCCACAAAAGAAACCCTTCACCTCATTCGACAAAGAACCCCTAAGAAGACCCGGGACAAGGTAAGTGATACAAACAAATTCAAAACCACCCAAATCTCCAGTAGATCTTTCAAAAGCCCCCTCATATGTGTGGTGTGAAGCGTGTGATATTATTTATACCATCAAATTATTACAAGGATAACTTTTCCTGGATTTTCCACATATATTTAAGAAAATATGTAAAATAAATCAAAAAGGTGGCCAAAAAGCTTTGAATACCATATAGTCATATACCAATTTCCATATTCTATGACATATGAAACTATGAAGGGATGCTCACAAGTTATACAAGTAAAGATAATAATAACAATGAGCAATGGCTCAACATTAAACAAAATAAGCACCTTGAAAATCAACGGAAACCAAGCGAGGCGTGTACGTAAGAATGCCCTGCCCAAGGTGATCAAATAAGTAATAATAATATAAGCTCTGAACATAATGTTGGCAAGTTAAAAGTAATAAAAGCAAGTCATTTACTGGGGGAAAAAGAAAAGTCAATGTAAGTTGCAGATTGTATTTATAAACAGCTAGCGAATTGTCAAACAGTTGGTCCAACCAAAGGAAATCAACCATTTCGATGATGTTAAGAGCCACTTTCCATATGGACCAAAAGTTCCCAGAGATTTGAGCCTTTATACTATTTGAGTAGCAAAATTCGGTTTTAGATAACATACTTAGGCACAATGGATAAAATTATCTTAAGCACGGATGCCACAAATAGAGTTGATTAATGATTCCGTTCTCCGAATTATAAGAGGCTTGTCACAGTGCAAGATGCATAACATTTCAACTGGTAGAAGACGTGATTACCTAACATTGTGAAAAATTAACAAACTAGATATTTCAAGCAGCTCAAGATGTTACAAGTATCAACATATACACGGCCTAATTAGGTTGAAAGATCATAGAATCGGAGGAATACTATAAGACATCTTCTCCAGATCAAATCCTAGTTCCACCAAGTTCATTCCAAATTTTATACCATCATCAACAAAATACAAGGTACAGAAATGAAGGTAGGATTGTTTCATTAAAGAATTGACAAAAGATATTTCAGAATTAACTGAAGTGTGGTAATTTATTTTTAAAAAATTGACTAGATTATGTCACCTGTGGTGTTTCACCAGAACGGTAGAGCACATCCATATCAAGATGGTGATTCTTAAACACTTCATCGCTCTGAGGGTCCTCAGCCAACCCAAGTAATTCATCCTTCAAATTGAGCACATGAGGTCAATGTATTTGTTTGCAATGAGAACAGCAGATAATTCAACCACCCCAGCACATGTTGGCAATGTACAGATGAATTCAACAATACTAACATAAAGCAGGGAGCAGGTAAATGAAGCCAGGAGTTTGTCAACTTAAAAGATCACATGTGAAGCCCAAAACTTGAGAATAAAAGAGTAAGCGAAAAATAAATCTCTTTATCAGCTGGCAAGCAATAAGGTGAGGTGCATGCACATTAACACAGAAATGAACAAGCGTCCACCTTACCATTGCTATAAAACCCAGTATAAAATCCTTCCCAAATCTCCACTTGCCCTTAGCTAATAATATGTTCCGATCTGCTGCTAATTTATAACTTTTTTTTTCTTGCCAAAAATGACAAAAAATAAGGTTTTTTTTTTATTAGCTGATGGTTCCTAGGTTTCAAAAAAGATGGTTCCTATTCCTTCTCAAATCCTTACCAACTTCAAAAGAGATAATCCTCCACACCACAAAAGGTGCAATCCAAATTCAAAGTCAACATAAGTTTCACTTGTCTTCAGCAGGCACAAATCAACATATAACAGTTCAAACACCTTGAGGAGAGAGTAAAATTCAGCATTAACTACCAATCCAAACCTGCTTTTCGGACAGAGCACAAAAATGCTTAAAAGAATCTTCTCATTAGAAGGCCATAACCTGTAACCTCGAAACTTTACCTCACTATGGAGTCTGGAGCAACCCATTAGCATGAAAGGACAGGGGAATAGGTATGTTTGACTATTACTCCTAAATTACACGAAAATTTTGATAAAAAAGATGAATTAGATCGGGACCAAAAACCCCATACAACATTATCAACCCTTTTGTTTTATTTTTCGTAAAAAGTCTTGTACAATGTTTTGTACCTGAGTTCATGTGAAATTGCTCCATAGAAAAGAGTCACACACAACATTGGTACCCTAAACCGTGTCTACAAAAATTGTCTACCTCACATCAATAATAGCCATATATTTAGGTCATATAGCCGAAACAGGAAAAACAGAAAACAAAAAATATTAATCGATGTAACAATGTAAGCTACTAAAAGCTAGACAATCAAGTTACTAAGCAAGAAAATTAGTATAATTGCAAAAATGGTGATTTATACACGAACTGGTCAAAAATCAAACATGAACATCAAGGAGGATGAATACAATATGAAACCTGTACCTGAAAGTTCCAGAAGTGAGAACCAATGAAGTTGGCATAACTCCCAACTTGGATAGTCACGATTTCTCTCATACCTCCTGTCAAAAGGGATTTTCAAGTAATATAATTGACTAAAAGAGATTAAATCCCAGAAAATTTATTGCAACACAGACACAAGCACACAGATACTAGCACTCANATTTTCAAGTAATATAATTGACTAAAAGAGATTAAATCCCAGAAAATTTATTGCAACACAGACACAAGCACACAGATACTAGCACTCAAGGCACTATCCCAAAAGTCAGATAACTAAGCACCAAGGCGCCAAACATAAGCCACTAAAGCAGGAACTTTAGGCCCCAACCAAAAAAGAGACCCCAAATTTATAGGACTATAACATATTCCATACCATAAATTTAAACTCATGAAAATTAAGTCCAATAAAAAACTCAATTAAAATTTCAGCCAACAAAAAAAAAATTAGGTAAATGAGTTGGGCTCAAAAATCCAGCCCCATGACACACAAAACTAAATTTGACAAAAAATAAAAAGACTAAAAATGTGCAAAAAAATACTGTCCAGTAGGCATCACTAGTCATTCTCTCTCCCTCACACACACACACACACACGTTCTCCCTCTAACTATGTTTTTGTCCTTATCAAAAGTTAAAATACCAATCAAAGCATTTATTTCATCCCCTCTCCCTTCCAATTCCTCTCTCTCTCTCTCTCTTTATAATATATATATATATATATATATGTTACGACTACAATACTTTTCTAAATCACTAAAGACACAAGACATTAATCCATTGATTCTCTCTATTTTTTTTTTAACTAGCGATGAAACCGTGGCACATGCACTGTTTAACACAAAAACCGATATTTAGAAAAAGTGAGAAAAACCATTGTTGTTTTTTTTAAAAAAAATTCAACCAAATTTTACATAAAAGGATTCCCAAAAAATAAAAAGCAACTTGTGTACACAATTACTCATCCAAAAAAAAATCAAAATTAAAGTTGAACCCCCACTGAATGGATCATTTTTTCGCCATAATTTATATAAAAACAAAAGTTGAACGCCCACTCAAGAATAACAAAGAGATATTCTAATAACCAAAAGACAACCCAGCTAAGCAAGGAGATGCAGCACATAATTTCTTCAAAAAATCCATCTACCACAATGGAAGGAAAAAAATGAGACCTCTTACAAAAAATTACATGATTTCATGACAAAAGGCAAAATATTGAAAACAACCACCAAAAACAAATTGCACCAAATACTATTCAACTATCTAAAATCTAATGAACTCTTTTCTAAAATCTTTTCTTGAAATTTCCTGTTGTTATAATAGTTAAACATCTCATAGTTAAGGCAATTAATATTCCTTGGGCCATTTTGAAAAGACATTTTTAATGACAAAACAAAGAAATGAAGCACTCTCTAAAAACTGTGCTCACCAAGTGCCACACACAAAACAATGATACTGCAATTGCCCCGAAGCAATATACCTACAACCCGATATTAAATCTAAAGAATAAGACGTTTTGACCTTGAGCTTGGCTGACTATTAATCAGCCGTTTCAATTGGCCTATTGATGGTGTATCACTAAAATTCATCCTTCTTCAATCCAATGTACAAATAACAAAAAACCTCATTTATAACATCAAAATATCAAGACTCAAGGCAAACAACACATTAATTACCACAAATCCCCACAATAAGAGTAAGGCAGGCCATAACAAAGCTAATGGCCTAACGCACTCCATAGCAAGAAATTGTTTAAATCCAATATATATTTTAGCACCAGAATAGGACACTACCAGATTAATCCAATCACCTCACAAATTGAATTAGAGAAGATATCCAAAGGTTTTCACGTTGAGCACATGAATAAAAAAATTTCAAAAGATTAACATTCACAACAAAATAAAAACTACACTTACAGTGTGCAGAAATCTACACTTCACACAGTCATTTCCTAGTTTGATTAATTTCAGCCTTTCACCATAAAATCTACACTTACACCAACAAATTCAATCTGCCCAAAAATTTAGGTATCCCAACAGTGTGCGGAAGTTGTGGTAGCTCTTTGAGTAATTTTGTCGAAAACGAGAGCAGCAAAGTTGTTACCTTGGTGGCCGAAGCCCTGTAATCATGCAATTCATCAAACACTAAAATGGGAAAAACAATTAAAAAAAAAAATTCAATGGATTGAGAATGATTAATTTCGTTAAAGTAATTTTTAAAGTCGAACTGATTCATGAATATTGCGTTGCAGAGCAAGGTTCTAACCAAAGTTAAAGCAAAATTTACCAATATAATGGCAGGTGCTACTTGCTAGCAAGGAAAACATAACTCCACCCAAGACAGCAAATAATGGTCATCGTGTGCTTGGCCTCCAATCAATGGAGGAATTAAGTTTGCCAAATCCTCCTTCTTGCTAAGCTATATATGATCATGGCAAAAAAAGGATTAGCCACAAAAAAATTAATTACATGAAAATGTATGGAATAATAAACAAACAAATAAAAGAAAAAAGATAAAGAAATGAAATCATATTTTTTCTCAAACCCAATCCTCAATGTACTCTTCCCCAATCAATCATCTTCAAACCAAATTTTGAGAAAGCATCGTTTCCANAAATGAAATCATATTTTTTCTCAAACCCAATCCTCAATGTACTCTTCCCCAATCAATCATCTTCAAACCAAATTTTGAGAAAGCATCGTTTCCACTATACAATAATATATACTTGGACAAATACACAATTAAATGCATAAATTTCCTCCGCAACATTAGCCTATCAGGCAATAATCTTAAACTGAGTACTGTACCCAATTTTTCTAGATTCAAAAATCTAAAATTGTTTTGGNCACTATACAATAATATATACTTGGACAAATACACAATTAAATGCATAAATTTCCTCCACAACATTAGCCTATCAGGCAATAATCTTAAACTGAGTACTGTACCCAATTTTTCTAGATTCAAAAATCTAAAATTGTTTTGGACTCTCATTTCCATAATAGAACTATGTGTCCAACCGTTAATATAAAAAAAGTGATAGAGGAAATAAAAAAATCAAAAAAAACAAAAAGCACAAAAAAAAAAAAAAAAAAATTCCCAATGTAGGCCCATTCATAAAAGTGTTACGTACTGAACAACTGAAAAAATGCAATAGTTAGCGCTATCAAAAATTAAGGGTAGTGCAACACCCAATGTTAACACTCCCCAACCTGGAAATGTTAACCAAAACTTCAATGGTAACAAAAATTTGCCGTCAATATTTTGCTAGTAATGGGCACCTAAAGATCTCGCAAAAACTAATTGAACATAGATTTACCTTTTATGGTCAATCTTGTGCTATATCTATGAAAAAGTAGCATTTACATGGATCACTCTTTCCCATGAATCCGAATCAGAACAGTTCGCATAAAATCTTCACTCTTTGTAGCACCATTTAAATGNCACTCTTTCCCATGAATCCGAATCAGAACAGTTCGCATAAAATCTTCACTCTTTGTAACCATTTAAATAGATCACTTACAACTTGTTGATAACCATTTGTCCAGCATGTGAGATACAAAACTTTGGCAAGAACTGACATTAGCGTATTGATCAAATTAAGAGCCTATTAACAACTTTAGAAACAAATAAAGAAGGCAAGCATAGCATTAAACGGGACCCATCAACAAAATTCATCTAATCAATCATCTAATTCTAACAATTTCGATTCTCCTGCATCTAAATTTTAGTCACTAACTTGCTCTTCAAGAACAAAAAATAGAAAAACATATGTAATGGCTTGAAGCATTTCAAATATGCCACATGTTTCTCAAAAAATGAAAAACTATTTGGACCCAATTAATATAATGACCATGAAAACACACTAAAATAAGTCGAAAACATCAAATCAGTTAAAATAAGCTAAATAACGGCCAATTTTTTTTATCTACCCTCCTTTCATCTAATTCATGCATGTATGATACATAAAAAGCCTAATTTTATATATCAAAGCAACCAATCTAACATTAAACGTTCTATGTGTACAATAAAACATGTTTTTAGCAACTAATCAAACCGAGACTTTTTCCAATAACCCCCAAGCATTGCACAACCAAAACACATCAAAACAAATTAAATTTTACCAAAACCAAACAAAACCTAGAGATTGGGACAGTATTTCTCTCAGCCATTTCAACAAACACGTCATGTACGGTGTGTGTGNAAACAAATTAAATTTTACCAAAACCAAACAAAACCTAGAGATTGGGACAGTATTTCTCTCAGCCATTTCAACAAACACGTCATGTACGGTGTGTGTGTGTGCTGTGCGTGTGCGTGCCTGCGATGTGTGTGGGCGTGGTCTGTCGTGGGGATGTACGATGTGGGTGTGTGCTGAGAGTGTGTGTGTTTGTTGTGTTTCAGAGAAGACACAGAGAGAGAGAGAGAGATAAGAGAAGAGGAGAGAAAGGGATGTGTGTGTGTGTTTGTGCGAGGTGTGTTTAGTGTGTGCTTTTTGTGGGATAAGTAGTGTGTGTGTTGCAGAGAAGATAATAGAAGAGGGGAAGGGAGAGGGAGAGGGAGACAAACCTTTTGCCGGAGTTTCTGGGTCACCGATGTGTTGCAGAGAAGAGAAAGAGAAAGACAGCTTGGAGAGCGAGAGTGACGCGTATTTTTTTGGGTGAGGTTGGTATGCGAACATGCGGCCATGGGTGTCATGGTGAGTGTGGTACTGTGTGAGTGTGGTGTGTGGTGTAGGTGTGGGTGTGGGTGTGTGAGAAGTGAAAGAGAGAGAAGAGAAGGGGGGGAGAGAACGAGACTAACCGGATTTGAGTCGCCAGAGAGTCACCGGAGTTCTAGGTGGATTGGTTTGGAATTGACTTAAAGCATCTTGTGATTTATGGGTTAGCAGTTAGTCTACACGTTTGCACCTGGACTATTTTGAAATCAAAACAAGTGATCATCTACCTTAATTACCTTCAAGCTAATTGGGTTTTGTCATAAATTTTATGGACAAGTTTGTTGACCTTTTATGAGTGCCGACAACCAATGGGAGGAATAATCCCATTAATTGTTATTTTAGCATAGAGTTTGAAAATTTACCAATTTTAATAATTTTTTTTTTTTGGTCGAGAAAAAGAGCAGGTACAAGCAAGAGTGTCC